TTACAGAATCCCTTAATAAAATTAGAAAACAATATATTAAATACTTCATTTGTAATAATGTTAATCAATCATCTCAGACTTCATTGTTCTTTCAATTCTACACCAATCATTCTTTGTACTCATTCTCTTTTCTTTGATTTTCTTAATTATCTGCCTCGAGGCATTTCACTTTCGATTGATGATACATACTACTTATATCTATCGATATCAGTAGCACACACCACAGTAGTAATATATAAAAGATTGTGTATAATTATATAATACAAGAAGAAAGAATTAATTCGTAAAAAGAAAAATATAAAGCTATTTTAATCTTACCATTTAAGGGAAGACAAAGAATGTATACACCGCCGCCATCATGATCGATTCTGAGCCATGTCACCTAGAGTCTCTTACCATTGGTTACGATAACTACATTTCTATCCATAACATTAACTGCAAAATGAAATGTATTCGGCTTAAAAGACTTTAACAGGATTCAACATGTGATTGGAGTAAATATTTTAAACAAACTCCTAAATATTCACTAAATGACTAGGAAGCTTTAAAAAAACAGATCTGTGATAGCATCACTCTTAGAAGAAACATCACAAAAAAGTAATATTTTTAAAAGAATACTAAAGATTGCCAGAAAGATTTTGCATCGAACGAAGATTGACAGCCAAAGTTTACATAAACAAATTTAAATAAATTAATATACAAAAGACAATATAGGTAGTTTCATTGTTGCTTGTTAGTAGAAAGAGAAATTTTTATCATCTATTCATTTAGATAAAGCAATGGGAAAAAAGAATTTACCTGAAAAATGTAATTTATTTGTGGTTTGGTTGAGGTTAGACATTAAAACCATTGGATGCTGGCTCAGTGGTCTAGAGTTAAACGTACCCATGCGAGACTGAAGACTTTGAGTTTGAATCCTTAGTGTAAGATCCTGGGTGCACACTGTTCAGAAGTCTCGTACTAGGACGAAGTGGCCGTCCAGTATTTTCAGGTTTTCGCTGGTGCTCCAACATTAATACATTCATCGTATCAATCCAGACTTACAGATTGTCATGCCGAATTCAAGGTCACACCAAATCGTCTTAATACGTATAAGGAAGAGTTCAAATTCATGACTGGCCAAGGCTTCAATAAACCTGAGAATTCGTCCTTGACAATTTCAACACAACGTTTTAAAAGCTGTATTGTTGTCAGTTCTGCCCCCCTCTACTTTAAGCACATTTTTTGATTTCGATGAACATGGTTTTCTACTTCCCGCATTCATCGAAACATTCAACGTTAACTAGTTTTGAATCCGTCTAGGCACATGTTCCATTACCCTTGATTGCATTGTTCAATTACTCCTCCCTATGTATGTGTGTTGTGCATTGTCTATGATTAATCAAAAGGACCTCGGTCAGTTTGAATACAAGATTAGAACTCTGATAAAAACATAGAATTGATAAGTTATGGTAAGAAGCTTCGTTGAATAAGCCAGTAACATAGTTTTAAAAAGAACATCGGGATACTTTTAAGTTTGACAGCCGCTCGAGTATTTTTGAGTAATAACATTGTAAAACGTTTACGTTTTAAATATAGTTGCATATGATTCGGTGAAAGCACACTATTAAAGTGGTATAAACTTGAAAGGGAGATTCAGACTCACTAGTCAACAGTTCGTTAAAAATTATTTTCAAAGAATAAGTTAACTGTATAAGGAAAATATAAAACGTAAATCATATGGTATTTGGTGTTGAAGCACTAATAATTCATCTTTGCTTTTTCATCTTTCAGTAGTTGTAGAAACATGGTCTTGTATGTATTAAATTCTTCCATTTGTTTCTACGGCATAAATGTTTGAAGGTTAATTAACTGATCAGACTCAATGATCGTTTAACTGTAGTTCTACTATATGTTACAAATACTATAGCTTTCTGTAGAGGTTTCTAAATCAAGTAAAAGAGTTTGACCCCATTAAGATTTATGTAAGTTCTGGTTTACCATTTTTTCCTAATGTCTTATTGTAAGACACAACTTTTTTGCTCATCCTAGTGAAAACACTATTCACACTTGAAAAAATATACCTTTAAATCTTCCAAAAAAACTACAAGATTTTGTGTTAGTTTCATTTCGAAACACACACCTATTAATTACGGATTTATGTGTGGAAACACTTACACAGGGAGGAGTAATCGTGATCTGCAATTAAAGGTAGGTGAGCACATAGAAAAATGGCTGCAGAAACAAATGAATTTCAATGGTCAAATAAGATCACAGGATAGAGAAACATCACCCTCTATTGCGAAACATTTGATTGAAACTGGTCATAATGTTAATATCAAGTCAGCATTTGTAGTGTCATACAAAAGCCTTCAAGGATGTACACTAAGCTTTGTTGGAGTTGCAGTATGGCGTTGAGTGGCGGTTGACTATGATCACCATTACAGGAAGACTACGTGCTAGTTAACCGATAAGACCTCCATAGGCCAAATATCAAAAGGTAGTTGATGGCTGTAGTCGAGATGTATTTGTTGGTGATTCCGTGGTATCGAAAGAATACCGAAGTCGTGTTAAAGGAGTACACGTGGATTAACTGAGCGAACGTAAGTTCGTGCAAGGTCACAATCAACGGAAGAATGTATGTATTTTTGTACAGTTAAACAAACAAGTACAGGAAAACAATCCCTGGTATAATTGGTTATAATAATAATTGTTTCCATTACACCAATCGCGTTCTCTTGATAAAAGTAGGTCACTACAGAGTCATGACTAAACAGAAACTGATATCCGCTTTATGCGTTCGAAAACGATTTGTCCTTACCCTTAATCTACCCTGGTAATACTGATTTACTATCCACAGTGATTATCACATTCTCGACATACTTACACCTATTACCCTACAATGGAGCATAGGCCGCCAACCAGCATTCTCCACCACGCTCTGTCCTGGGCCTTCCTTTCTGGTTCAATTCCATTGTTGTTCATTCTTCTCATGTGTGACTACGTTTCTCGGTGTAATGCGTTCTTTGGTCTTCCTCTCCTCCTTTGGCCTTCAGGATTCCATGTGATTCTCAACATACACAAAGGGAAAAGCAAGATTTTCCGATACAATACAACATGCAACAATCGAATCACACTTGACGGAGAAGCTTTGGACGATATAAAACCTTTATATATCTGGTCAGCATCACAGATGAACACAATGGATCTGATGCAGATGTGAATGCGCGGATCGACAAAGCAAGAGCAGCATATCTGCAATTGAAAAACGTCTGCAACTCGAAACAACAGTCAGCCAACACCAAAGTCACAATTTTTAGTACAAATGTCAATACAGTTCTACTGTATGGGTCGGAAATCTGGAGAACAACGAAAGCCATCATTCAGAATATACAAGTGTTTATTAACAGTTGCATAAGCAAAGTACTTCGGATCCACTGGAGAGACACTATCAACAACAACCTACTATGGTAAAGAACAAACCAAATTCTAGTGGAGGAAGAAACTTTGGAAGTGGATAGGACACACACATTGAGGAAAGTACCCAACTGTGTCACAAGACAAGCTCTCACATGGAATCCTCAATGCCATAGGAGAAGTGAAAGACTAAAGAACACATTACGCTGAGAAATGGAGACAGACATGAGAAGAATGAACAAAAGTTGGATAGAACTGGAAAGGAAGGCCCAGGACAGAGTGGGTTGAAGAATACTGGTCGGCGGCCTATATTCGATTGGCTGTAACAAGCGTAAGTTAGTTAGTTTGTGGTATCGGTTATTATGTTATACCGATATACCTTATTCCAGCTTTCGGACATCCCATTCTATTCATTCTACTTGAGTCGCATTCTGACCTTGTTATTTATTCGCTTATCAATCTTGACTGTTTTTATATGAGCGCGTAGGTGTGTGTATATTTCTTATCCCATTACCCATCACATGTCTGTAACTTACTTTTGTGTAACTATAATTATTGATTAACGCTAGGTTAAATGGGAGTTGGCCCGCCAGCCATCTCCACTCTGCGTCGTTTCTCTTCTCTCTATTCCATTCGCTTTATGTACAAAATATATGTATTCACAAGTCCATTCTCGTTATTTGACTTATTTAATTCCGTTACTGACTAACGCGATTTAAGTCGATGATTATATACGAGGATAGGCGATAAGAAACATCTATACAATCTAATTGGAGTCAGATCCAGGCGGCACTACAGTGGAGAGCCCTCCCGACAACATCGTTCGATCTAAACAACGACAAAATAACGGGCTCCACTAAAAGTTTATCACATTGCTTTTGTGTACTTTATTTTTCTTTTTTATGGCTTACCTTTAACCTGTCTAGTTGACCTTTTAATTTTCATATAAAACATATCTTGTCAACTACATTAGGTATGATCAAATTATTCGAAATGTATTACGCAAATCTATCATTACATAATTTAAATAAACTTCATCTTGAGATTAGATGGTGGTTGGAGGTAATCAACAGGAAACCCTGGACCTGGGATTCGTGCTACCTGGCACTCGTCAGCAAGGTGTACCTGTAATCCCGAGGGAACTGGTGCTCCCTGACGGATTCCATCACGTGTCACCTAGTTTTACAGTCAGAGACGTTACCATTGAGCTATCTGGGCCGCGACTGACCTTCTGTAGGACTGATATGTAATCACAATTGATTAATCACTGGGTGGTGATCAAGGACTTGACACACATGACATTGATCACTACTCAGTGATCAATCAATTGTGAAATTTCATCTTCTCATTGTATTATCAGAGTATATGAATGTAACTAATTATTTTAAATTACAAAAAAAGTATAATTTAATTAAATAATGAATATTAATTATTTAATTATCCAATAATAATATTCAATGACAAATGTTTTATTTTACAAATATTCATATCCAAATTTATAGGAAATCTACTCTACCAATCAACAAATCAAATGTTCACAAAATTATTCAACTTTTCATTTAACCAATCAATGATAAGATATAACTGATGAATATTCCCCCCCCCCAAAAAAAAGTTTATCCAATCAAATTATTATTATTATTATCCTCATTATTATCATGATAAGAACTGTTGACTATATTAAGAGAATATATAAGTATAATAATGACTGTAATTAGTCCTGTTCTTGGCAATATGACTTATTATTACATAATACAGAATGGAAATAATAATTACTATTACATAATATACAATAATAATAATGATAATTTAATTCAAATAATCGATATGTGACAAATATGGAATTATGGAGGCAAAATGCCAAAAATTACATGATCTTTCTTATATTGATTATTATATTCATTAATCAATTGATTAAAATTAAAGGAATATGTATGAAATCATCAACTGAATCTATAGCAATTACATATGAAATTATTGAAGAATCTATAACACCAATGATTGTAGGTAATTTAAAAAAAGATTTATGTATAGATCAATATCACAATCAAGATACAAATGATGAATTACTATTACATAATAATGATAATAAACAAGCCATTACCCATGAATTTGTATTATTTCCTACATCACAACCATTTTATCAATATTTTAAAATAAAAACTGACATAGTAACAAATTATAATGAACAATATTTAATATTAAATCAATCAATTGATCGTGAACAATTATGTAGTATAACAAATGGATTACATTCAAGTCATTCAAAATTATTACAATCCAATTATATAAAACAACACCAATATGAACAACAACAACAACAATCACAATATTATAATGATGATATGAATACATTATGTAATTGTAATCATTTATTAGGTTGGTGTACTATTTATTTACATTTAGCCCTTATACCATTCTATAATAATCAATCAAATTATCAAATTGATTTATTGAATATATCATTATTGATTAATCATACACAACAAATTAAAAAAAAATATTGATTATTGGTTAAATTCAATTAGTATTATGGAATTTTTTATTATAGAATTAAAAATTATTGATATTAATGATAATCAACCAATATTTAATCCATCTCATTATAAAATTATAATTAGTGAATCAGATAAACCAGGTATGATATATCGTTTACCAATAGCATTTGATCAAGATATAGGTATGAATTCAATGTTATTCTATAATATTGTATCTATAAATGGAACAAATAATCAAGGGAATATAATACAATTATATTCAATCAATAATAATAATAATAATAGTGATTATAATGAGAATATATTTATTCTTATTCAAGAAACAAATCCTAAATTACCATTTATTGCATTACATTCATTAGACCAAATTGAAATTCATAAATTATATATTAAATTAATTCAACCATTAGATAGAGAATTATATCATCATTATGATATAATAATTATAGCAATGGATAAACCATTAACTAATCATCATCATCATCAAAAAACTGGTACATTAAATTTAATTATTGAAATAGCTGATATTAATGATGAACTACCAAAATTTCAATATAAACAATATGAATTTCATATTCAAGAAAATTCACCATCTGGTAGTATTATAGGTCAAGTTAATGCAATTGATTTAGATGATGGTTTAAATTCAATGATTAATTATACAATTAAAGAAATGAAACCATTTATTAATCATAATCATAATAATCATGATTATTATGATTATTATAATGAATTAATTTATATTGATTCAATAACTGGTGAAATTAAATTATATACAATGATTGATCGTGAAAAATTATTGAAAATTCATTTAATTATTGAAGCGAAAGATAATGGACAACCATCAAGATCATCATTAACTAATGTGATTATTCATATAGATGATATCAATGATAATAGTCCAATAATTGAATTATGGGGTTATAAAGAGATATTAAATTCAACAGGATTATTGATTCATAATAATGATAATAATAATAATAATATACATCATAGTAATTTAATGCCATTTTATTTAATTTCCTCACAAGGTCCATTAATACCTGTACATATATGGGTTAGTGAATATTTAAATCCTAGATCAATATTATCGATTGTTAAAGTGAATGATCTTGATCAAGGATTTAATGGTACAGTTCAATGTATATTAAATGATTCATATTTTATATTACAACCAGCAACTCCAAATACTAATACCAATAATGATAAACAATTAAAAAGTTATTATGTCATATTATCTAAATCATTAGATTATGAATTACAAATTATTCATCATATACCAATTATATGTTATGATTTAGGTATCCCATTATCTAAAACATCAACAGTTTTATTAAATATACATATAAAAGATGAAAATGATAATGAACCGAAATTTTTATTACCTGAAATAGTTCAACCAGCACAATGGATCAATAAAGAACAATTTCTATCGAATAAACAACAAATGAATAATAATCTTAATTCTATATTTGATTTTCATAAAACATTATTCAATCTTAAAATGATACCTTTAGAGATCAACATACCAGAAACATGTTCTATTAATAGTGTCATATTAAAATTTCCTGTACTTGATATAGATAATGGTATAAATAGTCTAGTAAATTATCAAATACAATTAATTAATCAATATCCTATTAATCAATATAATAATAATCAATCAATAGAAATCGATAATATTATTGATTTTATACAAATTAATAATCAAACAGGTCAAATTATAATCATTAAATCATTAAAATTAATACCAGAATATATCAAATATATATATGAACTCATTGTTACCGATCAAGGTATACCATCTAGATTATCAAAATTATATTTTTCATTACAAATCATTATAGTCAATTCTTATCCACCTAATATAGAATTAATTCAATTAAATAATAATGATAATCAATTAAATATAACCATTATAGAATTATATAAAAATAATTTTAATAAAAAATATGAAATTGAATTTTATGAAAATCAACCAATGAATATAGAATTAGTTAAATTAATTGGTTATGATCCAGATCGTGGTGATGCTGGTCGTATCAGTTATAAATTAATACAAAATTTAATGAAAACTTGTAAAGGATCATATCAACAATTAAATAATACCATTGAAATTGATTCAAATAATGGTATTATAACAATTATGAAATCATTAGATCGTGAATTAGATGGTAATTTAATTTTATTAACAATACATATACATGATCATGGTATACCAATGTATACAACTACTATATATATTGATATAAAAATATTAGATAGAAATGATAATCCACCATTATTTATATTACCATTACGTTCATGTCATAAATTGGATCTAATAAATGATACAACTAATCTATATGATGTAATACCATGTAATAATGTATTACATAATAATCATTCTCATATAATAATTCTACTAATCAAACTTATAATACGACAATGTTATTACCGAAACAATCAAAACAAAATATTCTTTATCCATTTGTTCAATTTAAAGCAATTGATTATGATATTGGTTGAATTCATTAATTACATATCATATTAATGAAAATTGTTCAAAATTCAATTTATTCAATGAAACTACTAATCATCATTCATTATTTATTATTGATAAACATAGTGGTTGTTTAAGTATTATATTAAAATTTACTACTAAAATATTAGATACTACTTATTATTTTTGTATTATTGCAAAAGATCATGGTGAATTAATACAACATTATAGTATGATGAAAGTTTATATTGAAATGAAATCTTATATCAATCAATCAATTATTTTAATGAATTATTCAATTAAATCAATAGAACATATAATGAAAACAAAATTATCATTAAATAATGATGATGATGATAATATACCACAATTAAAATTATATCAAGAACAACAACAAGAAGAAGAACAAAAAGAAGATCAACAACGAGAATCACGAGAACAACAACATGAACATACATTGACACCAATTATTAGAATTTTATTATGTATTACAACTACTATAGGTGGATTAATGATTATAATTGTTGGTATATTAAGTATAAAACAACCTAAATGGTTAATATGTAATCTATGTAGAAGAAATTCTAAAGAAACAGCTAAAGCTGAATTGTTAAGATTTCATGAGGGTAAGTATTCCATTCATATATGTATATATACTTTGTCGTTTACATCATTAACAGATTTGGTTAGATAACGACTGATAACAGGAAGCACTAGACAGTTGTTTCAATCTTCCATGAGGCCCCTTATTATTCGAGTATCTATCACTATAACAGTAATCGAACTCAAGATATTCAATTTGTAGTGAAGACTCTTAACATATACAACACTGACCTAGTATTCAATGGTTTGCATTTATGAATTTGGTTGCACACAGTTGTGCTTTCATGTGATGCATGAAGTGTAGATAATATTTGAATCACATAATTGATGTATTCGTGGTATTTTCAAAATCTTAGGTAATGACCCCAAATAATGTAGATTGCCTTGGAATAGACAAGTTAAAATGAAAATTATGACTTTTCACTAACTAATTTACCAAATCATGATAATCTTAATATACCAGGACTAAAATTACATCAAGAACATCATCATCATCAACAACATCAACAACGAGAACAACAACATGAACATACATTGACACCAATTATTAGAATTTTATTATGTATTACAACTACTATAGGTGGATTAATGATTATAATTGTTGGTATATTAAGTATAAAACAACCTAAATGGTTAATATGTAATCTATGTAGAAGAAATTCTAAAGAAACAGCTAAAGCTGAATTGTTAAGATTTCATGAGGGTAAGTATTCCATTCATGTGTATATATATGTTATATCCTAGGAAAGATTAAATTACGAGTAACTTCTGAGACATATTAATGGAATAATATTACCTATATATTCTTATGGTATAACTGTTCAGTAATTAGATTATGTTTATCTATATTCCTTTTATTATAAGCTTTATTTTCACCTATAATTTATTATTGTATGATTCACTGTCCCTAAGATATGTTCAGTTTATTAATTACAGTCTCCCACGTTCACAGCTACTTTTTGGCTTATTTGTGTATGAACATTATTTCCTATTTTATGGTGCGTGGCGGTATGTTTGATTGGTGTATAAACCCATTATGTCTGAAATAAGTGGTTTGCGTAGTGGAGGATGTTATTGGCATTCTGGACTCAGCTCGATAGGTTAGGCGAGCAACGGACCAATAAGACGCTAGGCTTATCAGACCGGTCGGACGTCACTAGTTAATATAACTCGTATTTTGATTGGTGAATAAATTTCGTGATAACTAGTGGGCCACAAAGTCACAACAATATATATATATATATATATATATATATATATATATATATATTATATATATTATATATATTATATATATATATATATATATATATATATAGGTATTGCATGTTTCATGTAGTTACTAATTTATTCTTAGTGAAAAGAGGATTGAGTGAAGTTAGACATTAACACCGTTGGATGCCGGCCGGCCAAGTGATCTAAATATAAGGCGTCGGCACGCGAGACTGATAGGTCCTGGGTTTGAATATCGTGGGGCAGGATCGTGGATGCGCACTGCTAAAGGGTCCCATACCAGAATGAAAAGGTTGTCCAGCACTTCCAGGTTTCTCATGGTGGTCTAGTTTCAGTTGACTCATGAATTTAATTAATAAAAGATTGTTATACATTATTGTTCACATTACTAACTGATTTTGGTTAGATAACGACTGAAAACCAGGAAACACTGGACAGTTGTCTCGTTCTAACACGAGTATCCATCACTACAACAATGACTGAACTCAGGATCTTCAGTATGTAACGAAGACTTTTAACATTTATAATACTAAGCTGGCGTTCTATAGTTTGTATAGATAACTTTGATTGTAAACAAATGCGCTTTGATATGATACATCAACTTTAGATAATATCTGAATCACATAGTTCGTGTTTTAGTGATATTTGTTTTAAAATATTAGGTAACGACGCTAAATAATGTAGATTGTCT